GGGATCCTGGACGAGGAGGGGCCGGTCTGTCTGTCTCTGGTAAGGTGGGCTCCCCAAAGCCGGCGTCGCCCTAGCCCCGCGAAGAGCCCAGGCAAGGGAGAGACCATGTCCCCCGCTGGCAGCCGCCGGCCGCTGTGGTGGCTGCTGCTCACCTGCCTGATGCCCGCACCCTCCCTGGGTCAGGAGTGCTCGGCGGAGAAAGTGGAGGATACCATCATCGATATAAACTTATCGCTGCCCAAAGGCATCCGGGGCGCTGAGCCCGTGTACGCCCCGACCCCAGAAGCTTGCGTTCGCACTTGCTGCTCGGGGGAAAAGCTGGCAGGTAACCGGCTCCTCTTCGGTCTCTTCTGTTACTGCGTACGAACGCTTGGGAAATTACTCCTGAAGTTGTCAGGGACAAGGGTATTCTCTATATTTGGCATAGAAACGTTAATTTATCCTTTCATACACGCTGTGACTAATAACAGCTTGTGGCTGCCATCCTGTTTTGCCAAGTGTTATGTTAGGTCTTAATGCAAGACCCCAGAGCATTCGGGAAAATAGTTGCGGTAAGGAAAGTTAAGCTTAAATGTTAAAAATTCTCAGACCCCCCAAACTCTAAGATGCCTAAGCTGTGCTTAGTAGACACACTACAAAGTTTAATTTTTGCCAAAAATTAGAGTGCTTACCCTTCTCTGAGACGAGTGGTTTGTGTCAGGCTCTTGGAGCAGCAGGAGGTACAGCAGCAAGTAGAAGTAAAGTAGTAGTGGTAAAAGTAACCTCGCCAAGCTGCTGCAAGCCAAGAGATTACTGGGACGTGATGGGAAAAGTGTATAAATAAGTGTATACATATAATATACTCCCCATATCAAGGAAGTTTTCAGATTTATTGGGATTTTTAAGTGAGAAATTATTATATAAAGTAGTGTCGGTGCAGCATGGGTGAGGGGAGGAGAGGATGAGGGATTAGACTCGTTATTTCCCCCAGTTCATCTGTACAGGAAGAGGAAGGTGAGACCTTTCATATGTTGGCCCCAGGCCATTCTTCTGCAGTCCTGGGTTGTTTTTCTTGTAGGAATGTTATGTGCTGGTACTTTTCCTCTTACTCACATGATTAAAAACTAATTTAACAGATCAGAGCTTATTATCAAGATGGGATAAAAGTTCTTTTTGCTGAAGTATGTCTGTATCTTGCTTTGCAGGAGACAAGAAGTGTAATTTGATGATCTTTGATGGTCGAAGGACAAGCGCACATCCAAACTGCTACCTGTTTTACTGCCCTAGCACAGAGGCTTGTCCAATGAAACCCGCGACAGGATTTATGAGCTACAAGATAAGTAGAGGTAAAGAATCGTAAGAGCTGCCAGTCCCCACACTTTTGCACCTGAGTTTTCAGTAGTAACCAGAAAATGTTTTGGGGTTGTGTTTTTAATAAAATGTTCTAAGCCAAGCATTGTAATTTGAAAATGCTGGGGTTTTTTGCTTTGTGGGAGATGGATGGACAGGTGTGTGGTGAGCTCCTGTGTGGGCCCAGCTTCCCGGTTGGGAAAAACATCCTGACCCTTATGAAGTTCCTTCACATAAGATTCAGAACTACTCATAATTTTCCCTTGCTTAAAACAAAAAGAAGCTACTTCTGTCTTGATATATTCAAGAAGGAAAATTTCCTGGACATAATGCTGAACAGTATCACTGAAAGCAGTGGAAATAAAATGCCTGTGTAGCTGTCTGCATAATCAAAGGACCCATGCTGCACTGGTGAATACCATGTACACACAAGCAGAAATGTTGGGCAAGCCTTGGACTACTGCTATGATGTTACCAAGTAATTTGCAATAGTAATTGGCAATAGTAATCATTGTTTTCTGCCTTCAGTTAGGGAACCTGAAACACAGATGCAAACAGACTAAGCTCAAAGCTTTACGACATGCGGGTTTCATACTCAGAACTTTCTCACTGTCACGTGCTGTGGGATTTTTAATAGCAAGTCTTATGTGAGGACTGACATTGATGTGCACCAGACCTGTCTGAATGGCTCACATAAGAACCTGATAATTAGACTGTCCTCCTGCCAGGACGTCACAGAGTGGTTGCAGTGTGGCTGCTTGAAAGAGCAGAAATTTCGTATTTCCAGAGACTAAACTTTTGCTGAAAAAGAGAACTTTTCCAAGAGGAACTACACAAGGAGCAGCAGCAGGATATGTAGAAAGATTATTCACATAATCTTAACAGATATTTTTGTGCAAGCAGTCGCACAGGAACTGGGCAAAAGCAACGTGCAACAAATTAATTGCGTGCCTGTAAAATTATCGTTAGAACGATTCTTCTGTCCAGCTCTTTCTCCCCTAGAAAAATACAGGCGTTTCAAACAAAGAAGCAAGAAATCTTAACTGTGCTTGTGCTTGCATCCTGCATGCAGTGTAATGCTCAGCTAACAACTTGATTGCATATACCATCTCTTTTTCATTTTGCATTTTTTCGTTTCTGTGAACATTGAATTACGGAAAAATTACGCTGGCTTATTTACCTTATGTTCCTACTGAGTTTTCAAAGGTAGCACCTGAGTGGTGTTGGTACTGACAAACATTTCAAGCTTTGTTTTTTTCATATGAGAATCTGCATGTGCTTACACTGAAAACCAAACTAAAAGTAGGAAAGATACTTTATTGGTAATAAAGCCACTTAAAATACTGATGCTATGTTAGTAATTTCTTTTTTTCTTTTTTTTTAAGTATTCTTGTACCTGCTAACTAATGGAAACAACCTATGGCTTGGGAAGTAAAGCATTTCCTGGTCCCAGTTGCAAAGAGCTATTGCCAAAAAAGAAATAACATTTCTGGTTTCTGCTGTTCGTGTACATTTGTGGCACTTGCCTTTTCCACCCGCAATAAGATACCCAGTCAAGAGTGGTGGGTTCTAGCAAAGTATGCTCAGGAGGTGTTTAGTTTGGTTTTTAAGAGTGACAGCCTTAAGTTTGGTTTCTAGTGCAGCCTATTGGATTTGAGGTATCAGCAGGACCACTTTGGTTTTCAAATCTCTGGTGTAGTACCCTTGTTCTTTCTTACTGACAAGCATATCTGTCCCAGTACCCCAGGTGTACCTCACACGTTACAGGTTTGGGCAATTGCATTTGGAGGCTTGTAGTCTAAAATGGAGTCAGAGAATACTATAAAAACAATGTTTGATGCTGAAAATGTGGAGTAGAGTTAGTTAATGCAGGCAGTCACATTAATTAATCCGAGTGCTGCAGAGTGGCAGTGATATTTAACTCCCATATGGAGTTACTAATCACGTAGCCTCCCTGTGCTCCCTCCACCCATCCTTTGAATGCTATGTGCAAGTTCTGTGCTTTCCTAGCTCTTGCCCAGGTGAGTGAACTGCAGGGCACATAGCATGCTGCAAGTGCTGTGTAGCTGTCACACTACATCTGCTGTTTGTTTAAACGCACAGGGGAAGCATCCATGGGAGTGCATCAGGAACAGGGAAAAAGTGAGCTGGGGACTGACTCCATGGTGGTGACAGGCCATTTCGTCGCTGGTGTGGAAAGATGTCCGGCACTGCAGAAGCAGTTTGACTGTCTTTGACCATGCAGTTTCTGATTGTGCATTGTCTTGGTTGCACTGGATAGAATCATAGAATCAGATTTCTGTACAGGAAAGCTGCTTTTCTGCGAAGACGATATACTTGATTTCATGGGAACAAAGTTGATGAGACACTTTAATTGAAGTTTTGGCCTACACTGGTATGTGATGATCAAGGTCTTTAGCAGTTTTGAGTTAAACAGGTGCAGAAGCTGGGGGGAGTAGAAGCCCAGGGCAGGTGACCCCAAGCTGACTCCAGGCTGGCCAATGAAAATTATTCCATACCATAAACATCATGCTTACTGTAAATTTGGGTAGTTTGCTGGGGGTCGCCCTCTTTCCTCGATGGCTGCCGTCCCAGGAGGTGACTGCAAATACCTGCAAATATGTGAACTGACTTGTGTGAAGCAGTCACAGGGTGTTTGGATATTATAAGAAAGAGGGGCGTATATAATCCTCTTGGCTAGTTGAAGTGTGTACATCTGACAAATAAAAGTGAGGTCGATAATACCTACTTCTTAACTGACAGAGGCTGAGAATGGTTTGAAGGCAATGCGCCTACTCGCTCTGCTTTTCACCTCTAAATAAATGCTTACATGCACGCAATATGAGTATAAAACAATCAGATTGGGATGATTGCTCTGCTTGGGTAAATTCTCTGAGAAGCTGCAGTCAGGGTGTATTTTAAGGCTCATGATGCCTCAGTTTCATTAGTCATTACTTCTGGAGCCCCCTTATCTCTCTCTTACTAAGAAATACAAATGGAGTAAGCCTGTGGTAGTATAAAATAGATCTAATAATTAAATACTTGTACTTCCTTTCTGTTTCCAGACACCCATGCCTCAGAGGACACATCCTTCAAAAGTGCGGACTTTTCTTCAAATGAGTATCCTTTGTCTTTGGATGCTGGAGCCCCTATTTCTCACAGCCAGAATAGCCATCAGAATCTCACCGCTGCTTTGCAACAATCTGTCTTTCCTCAGGCATCTGAACTCCAGAACCACACGGGCGAGCATTTAGACAACAGTGAATTTAATACAGTTCTTCCTGAATCTCAAAAGGCAAAATATCCTGAGAGCTTAGACACCACCCCAAGGCAGAAAGTAATTAACCTGCTGTCAAATGCATTGTCTGCTGTTCAAATTGGAAACCCCTCTGCTTCGTTTCCCACCACTCAGTCTACTGTTCGTGAACCCAGCAGTACTACTCTTACTTCTCTGCCTACAAGTACCACCACAATGGAATCTACGACCTCTCTGCCTACTGGTGGTGCTAAACCTACTACTGTCACCACCACTACCGCCGCTACCACTTCCTCTCCACCTACTGCAACCACTAGAGCCAAACCTGGTATCCCTGCCACCAGCATCGCTGTTACTCATGCTCCTCTTTCCAGTCTCACAACTTCTTCTTCTACTTCAACAACCAAGTGGGTGACCACGAACTCCAGATCTACTACTGCCCTGTCAGAGATGAGAACTCCAGCCATCCCTCCTGAGCCAACAGTTGTCTCTTCCAATGGTACCAGCCATGTTACCCTCCTCTCTTTCTCAGGTTTCACTCTATCTACTAGTGATTCCCCCATGGCTTCCCAAAACAACCCTCAGGGCTATGACCCTTCTGATTCAGAAAGCTACCTGCCAGAGAGTGCTCTGAGTGGGAAAAGCATCATTCAGCTGGGAGAAAAAAGCAGCCTTATAGCAGCTTTGCTTTTTGGGGTGATATTCTTGTTGCTAGTTATGGCACTGACAGGGAAGAAATTACACGAATCTCTTCAGAAGAGGCATTATACCAGGCTGGATTACTTGATCAATGGAATTTATTCTGATGTATGATGGGGAGAGGCAATAAGATTGCGAGGAGCATCTCTCATCTTTGAGAGGACAACTCTGAAATGACGGAACAGTAGGTACTGAAATCTCAGGAGAGGATGGATTCCTTTTTTGGCCACTAATGGGAAAGTGGCAGATAGCTTTGGTGGGGAAGAGGACTGCTTTTTCTATGCTGAACTGTAATGTCTATAATTTTTGATTTATTACTAAATCCGGAAAATAAACACTAAAATCCAAGTTAAGCTAAGAAGGTCTTATATTTAAGGAGCCAAAGCATTCGAAGAGCTTAGTCTGTACTGTGACAAGATTAGTGGAATAGAAGTAAACCTAATAAATTCAGTACCTGTGCAGTGCATGAGTGTTTTCAATGCTATTTGCACCCAAATGCCTTAGTGTTACAGTTCTGCCTGGCAATCCTATTTACTCTATCTGTAGCCTTAAAGGAGTGCTTAATAGTAAAGCTTTGCCTCCAAATGATTTTAGGTTCAACCAGTAAAAATTGTAGTACACATAACTTAGTTGCCTTAGTTTTTCTTAGGTACATATAGCATATGGATATAAATGTATCTTTGATGTTGGTTTTTTTTCTCCATACATCACAAGCTATCCTTAAAACCACATGCTGCAAATTTGAGTTTGCCTTTTCCAAAGAGTTCACCACCCTGGAGCACATTGGGGTTTGTGGTATGTATCAGAGAGAAAGAGTTTTTACCCATATCAAAGTAAAGCAAGCTACAATCAAGGTCTTTCATGACAAATGTCACGACCAAGTGACTTGGCATATGCACGAGAGAAAATCTTTTCTAATACACCTAAATCCCTAACAGTTGAGACTCAACACTTGATTGCAGAGCAGGCAGAAACTTGTGAAGAGGGCTTAACAAAGACAACAGCTCTTATTATCGGCAGAAGACACAGAAAAGGTATGGTCTCCATTTGCTGAACATCTGGAGGGACTGAAGAGAAACAAGCAAGTTCTAAAGGAAAACGGTGCCTATGTATGCCACCTCAAAGAAGTTTTCTGCATT